CTTTAAGTTGATGGGTTTGGGTTTGGGGGTGGGGCGAGAGAGAGGTCTCATGGGTGTGATGGTGTGTAGAGAAACCATTTTTGGGAGGAATCGAGTGAGTGATTTCACTGGTTTCGTGAAGATCAATCGACTCTGTTTTTGGTCTCCGACTTGAGAAGAGAGACAGTGCAACGGTTATATTACGAGGGAGGAGGCTTGATTGGGTGATCTGGTGTGGCGCGAGTTAGGTTTTTTTTAGGATAATTCGGTTGGGAGTTCGACACGTGTCTGTTGAATTCGTTGTAGTGGCTCGTGGATTGGTTTAGAGAGAGGAATTCGTTTTGGTAAATGTAGGGTAAGGTGTACTGAATCTTTGTGGAATGGTGTTTTGATAATGGTGAATGCAGTCCACATAAGAGGGAAAGGCAGCTGGGAAGGAACAAAAATGTTTGGGACTTTTTTTTGGGTTTTCATGGCTCTCAATTTGATCTTGGTCTTTAATGTGTGTGTGGAATCCATATATATGTGTGTGGATTTCATATTATGAGTGGTTGAAATGAGAGTGGGGGTTATGGGAGTCAGGTATGTGTAAGGGCCTCTATCACAATTGGCTAAATTATACTGGTTAGTCTTATATTTTTAAAATGATATTTCAAAATAGTATTTGATTTACAAGAATAGATTTTGGCATAAAATAATTATTTTATTAAAATATTTATTCTTATGTATGATTAAACTAAATAAATAATAAAAAATATGAAACAATTGTAATGATCTTTCTATTATATTCTATTTCATTCTTGTGAATCAAATAGAACACAACTTTTTTGAAGTTCGGTTCTAAAAAAAATGCTTCTTTGAAGTTTGAATTCATATAACACCTAAGTTCTTTTTTATCAGTAATTTATGAGTCATGTGAATGAAAAAATAATATTACAGTGTTTATTCTACTAAAATATATATTTATCTTTATTTATTCATATGTCTATCAACCATCTGCATTAGTTTTGATGATTTTAAATTTATTAAAAGAAATGTTAGTGCAGTTATGCCAAGCATGTATCTTCCTCAAATTTCAAGTGAAGAGAAAGCAATTTACTCTTTATTCTATTTTATTTTATTTTATTTTTCATTTTTTTGGTTTTTTTAAAAATATTTTTATAATTTGCAGCCACTTGGAGAAAATGCTTAATTGTCCAATTCATGCAAAAATATGAAGGAAGAAAAAATAATGAAAGAGAAAATCATAGGAAAGGGAAGATTGTCTTTCACTGATTTTGTTTGGTTTCAGGAATGGTTTGGATCAATTTTTTGGGAAAATTGCTGAGAATTGGATAAAATATAATAATTGTAAAAATGTGAGGTATCAAAAATAATAGCAAGGTAGATGGAAACTTAAATTTAATTCTTTAAAAAAATGATAAATTTACAATTATAACCCTCTAACTTTGCCTTCTTCCCTCCCTTGCTACTACTGCCACTCATTTCCCAACTGTCGATGACCACCCCACCCTCATTGTTTTCAATCACCGTTTATCCCATAACCACGCTTCCCTGCCCCTTCCTCACTCGTCTCGACCCCTCTTCAATACCCTCTTCCTAATTCCAATCCCCCTCCTTACCCATTATCATTGCCACCCTCAATCGTCTCTCACCCTTTACCATTCACTCCCATTACCATGACCACTATTTTCTCACACCACTCTCTCTCTCTCTCTCTCTCTCTCTATCATTTTTAGGGATTTGAGATTTGATCCAAATTTAAGGAAATAGGCTAAAGATAGACAAAGGTGATTGGTGAAGAGTAAAAGAAGGGGACTAAGGAGTTGGTGAGGGTAGCACGACACAGGGAGGGGGTGGCTAAAAAACCTTAACCGCATATACATATACATCTATCTATCTATACCATTATAAAGTGAACACAATTTCTGGTGTCCTGAAGCTTTACTCTCTCCATTCCATGTGCAGTATTTTTTATTTTTTTAAAAAAAGTTATACGAAGAGATGGGCAAGGCTTGAACCCATGACCATGGGTTTAAGTACGAGGACTCATACCACTTAAGCTAAGTACACATTATAAATTAATTTCATTATTATTTTTTTTATTCCTACTTATTTAAATTGCACACACATCGTGTGTGCACCCACTAGTACATATATAAGAGAGAGAGAGAGAGAGAGAGAGAGAGAGAAGAAGAAGAAGAAGAAGAAGAAGAAGAAGATGAATAAGAGAGGTGGCGTGCTTCTAGTGAGAAGGAACCGGGTAGGGGAGGGATTGTAGAGTAAATATGGCAGGAGGTGCTATGAGGTTGGGAGGTTGTTGAATGGTGTCACCGATAGTAAAGGGGTTGTAGAGTAGTCTGGAGGGCTGTTGGCACGTTTAGGGGGTAAGGGAGGCCAAACGAGGGTGGAGGAAAATGGCGACGATCGGCAAGGGTGGAGAAGGGTTGCTCTTGCCGCTACTGCCACTAGGGACGTGGCTAGAAAAGGTGGGGGATGAAAAAGGGAGAAATGATAGGGGCAAAATTGTAAAATTATGTGCAATTTTTTTTTTTTAGGAAAGGTGAGATGCATATATATTCTTAGGGAAAGGTCATAGACCTGTTACAAAAGAACAACTATAAGGCAGAAGCTAGGGATGCCGCCTCAGCCGCCGAGTGAGCCATATGCAGTAACTGTCTAGGCACTTTAGTATTACAAACATAATCTAAAAACATACATAATTCATATATCTCCATAATAATAGTCAACAAAATATTTCAAAATAATTGAAATATTTTGTGCAGTTGTCATTTTAATATTATGCTCAAGACACTATTGGTTCACAGATTCAAATTTGAGCCAGAAATAGTTAACCATACAACACACACAGCTTGTCATTGTTTCAACTCTGCTGTCAAGGCCCAGTTGTATGTTGCTCAAATGTGAGAATCTTGAGCAGTGAGGGTCCATAGTAGCTCTCTTGTGGAATAAACTACACAACACAAAGCTCTCACACAAAAGTTGAAAATCCAAACAAAATCTCCCTCCGATCATCACTGCTTTGTGGGCTCCATATGATCTAATAACGGCTGATTCAAGTTCATTGCTAGTCCACACATTTCGTGTGGAGTGTGGGATTGAAAACAACCATTTATGAAATGTCTCTTCCTGTTTAATACACTAGATGGCTCTGGATAATCAACTGTAGGCTGTTTTTGAGAGCCACTCAAAATTTCAAGGTCTTCTTTGCAACATCTACAAAGTCCTTGTCTTGTTTGTACTTACAAACGAAACAGGGTACAGAAATATTGGTCTGATAATATTATGGTGTACGAAATTATTATTATATAAATTTGTTACTAGAACTTGATATACTTGAGTTGATTTCTGTGTCAGTCAACTAAACTATCACTCTCAAAAACATAAAAATAAAATGAGAGAGAGGGGCAAATTCCATTTTATTACTAGACTGTGCATATAATCTATGGGTCATTTACTTGCATACATCAATTCCTCTTAGTATACATATTTAATGAACATTTTCTCAATACACACATTATAAAATTATAAATTCTTAGTACACATCTTTATATTCTAATATTATCCTCATTTTTAATTTTAAAACCCTAAGGCTATGTTATTTTTTGAATTTTTTTTGAGAAATTTATAAATTAATTTGACAAAAATAAATAGCAAAAAAATATTTTTAAATTTTTTTGCTCCTAGAAAGATAAAACCATATTGAAATGAGAAGTTTTTATTTATTTATTTTTGAAAACATATTCTAAAACTAGATTAAACATAGTCTTTTTTTAATTTTTTTTTATTCACCCACGCCTCCTTTATTGCCGTTGTCATCACTTTCAACCCTCTATCGCCGCCGCCACTGCCACTTCTACCTCGTCCCTCTCCATCCTAGACCTCGACAGTCAACGATTGAGTGATTCACGATGGAAGACTTGTGCAAGTGTATGATTCATGATGAAAAGTGATCGCAGGCGAAGAGGGAAATAGGCGATGGAAGGGAATGGCGGATGAGAGAGGTGGTGCTGGCAATAGAAAATGGTTGTAATATTTTAGAATTAGGGTTTAAGTAGAAGAAAATGAGGGGTATTATGGTATTTTTGTTCTAAGACAAAATTGTATTAATAAAAATTTTCATTCAGTGTGTGAACTGAGGAGAATTAGCGTGTAGAAATAGAATTACCCATAATCTATGTTATTGATTTTTAAATAATCACTTTTAACTCTCTATGATTTTGCACCATAAACTTTCGATAATGACACTTATAAATTAATCAAAATAATTTCATCGTCTTCTTTTTTTTTTTAAACTGGGCTCTTCAGTTTGTTTTAATCCCAAATCCACATGACAAGATTAAGAATTTTATTTATTTATTTATTTTTTCCCTCTCAAATGACAAAGGGGAACCAAGAAATGCTGGTTATGTTATGCTTTCCTAATATGAATGTGTGGCCAGTGAACATGCATGCATAACTACCAATCAATCTGACCTTGAATTACGTCTGAAGCGATTAGATAAATTATGATAGTTATTAAGTTTGAAACAATCATATCTGAAAGGGGGTTTTCGGTAATTATACCAAAAATAATAATAATAAAAACTGTGACAAAACTCCATATTCTGGGTTGTATATACACGTGTATAACTTCTAGAGGCGACATGAGCTTCCAACTCGTTCGTTGACATACAACAAAACCAACAAATGATTTTTTTTTTTTCTTTTTTTCAACCTATTGTTTCTCCTTAAATATGTTCATAAATCTTAAATTTAACAAGGTTATCCCATACTATTGAATGCTGTTGATAATGCCAAAGCAGTCTAAAAAACCAGCTAGAAGCTATTTTATATCAGTTGTGTGTGATGCCATTGAGATGTTTCAGTCCTATTATCAAACACTCAGCATTTAGCAGTCTTTTATCTACTTCTAAAACCACACTTCTAAGAAAGCCAAGTCACAAGATTAAATAACTACCCTAAGCAAATCAAAATAAAACTCTAGGTTACAGAACAAATCAACCATAATTAGCAGTAAGAATTTTTTATTTTTTATTTTTTTTTGGAAGTTGATTAGAAATAATACATATAATTATCAAAGGGACAAATAATATACAAATGTATCATCCAACAGAAGAAGTTGCCTTTTCTTGGGTAAGTAAGAAATCAGCAACTTTGACAGTACAGCCTGCATAGAAAACCAGGCTAATGCCATCTGAAGTTGACAATGAAATCAAAAGAATGAGAAGAAGTTCCAATCCAGAAGGACAGCAGATCAATTCTCATCCGGCAATACGAGGCGATCTTGACCTTCCACTAGCTTTGCAGATCGAATCACATCCCCGGTTTTTATCTCAGGTAGAATTTCTCTCCCAACAGTCGTGTATCTATACATAGCACCAAAAAAATGCAATTAACTTTACCTGACCAAACCAAATCAAAATTTAATACTAAATAGATAAGATAATACACAATTTGGTAATTGCTGAAGTTGTAAGGGACGTACCCAAAGACAGAAAATTGACCCTCATCGAAAGACAACCCCCCCAAGCCAGCCTGTGGAATATATATTCATCATATCATATATTGATAATAGGAACTTAGTTTCCTAGTCATTGAAGACGAATGTTTATTGAAGATGGAAATAACCATGCCAAGTAACAAATGGTTCAAAATTACAATTTATAATACCAAAAAACAAAAATGAGCATCTTGAATGTTACTTACGCTCCTCTTATCATAAAGATAGAAGAAAAACTGATATGGTGATGAATACTCTTCAGAGGCATCACTGTGTGCCATAGCAACTGCGCCATAAACAGATAGCGGAAGCACAGGAAGCTCCCCATCCTTATGGAAAATGATCAAGTGTTACTGGAAACATGGACAGGTTGATATCTATTTATAGAACTATGAACTGAATGAAATGTGAACAAACCTGCACGCTTAAGGTTGTCTTGTACAGTGGCTCGAATTGTCCAGATGGCATCATCTCCAAGGGAACACTATAACCAATGTTTTTATCGAGTCCGCTGTCTGAGATAATTGCTTGGTTGACACAGTTGAGCTTCACCCCATTGTATGCCCCATCAACAACCTAGACAACAGTTGTTTTTGGTAAGTTATATTGTGGGTAAATCTTAAAGAATTTCAAACATCTTGGACCATCTTTCTGAAATTTTTTAAAGCTAAAGAAAAAAGAAAAAAAAAGAACCGGCAGCAAAAACCAGAAAAAGAAGAATAAACTTTGAAAGCCTGCTATGTAATTTTTCTGCTTAGTTTGAAGTTCAATTTGAAATCTAATCCTTGAATGACGTGATGATTTTTTATCAAGCTAATAAAATATTTTCGACATCAACTCTCATAAAGAACTGTGATATCTAAAAAGTTCCATGAATCCTACAACAGATCATATATGACAACTTAAACAGTCAAAACAACAGAAGAACAAACCCACAGTTTAAAAATGAAAAAAAAAAAGAAAAAAAGAAAACGAAAATATCCCTGATCTTTTGTTGTTGGTCAGAAATGTTTGAAGTTAAGTAGGTGATTCATAATTTCAATACAATGTTTCTGGTGAACTTGTTTTTCATAGGTTTAGGAAGGCATTCCTCCTATCTTTCTTTTCTTATTGATTCTTTATGGGAGGTATACATCTTTGTAGATATATAGGTGCTTAGGGTGTAGAATTTGCACTTCTTTTTTGGCACCCATTCAATGATACTGCTTATTTATATATAAATAAAAGAAATAAAAGGAAAGAAACAAGAAGAAGAATGAAGTGGGCTTATTTCTGCTTATCAATTTCGCTGTTTAAACATCAAAATCAATTCCAATCATCATAAAAAATTCTGAATGAACTAACATAGATGATTAGAAAATAAGTATAACAGAAAATGTGGGAGAAAAAAAAAAAACATGAAAGACAAAGATATAGATTGGCCAAGTACTTCAAGTAATGTGTTTATTAAAATAAACAGATATTTCATAAGGATGAAGTGAGATTCCACTACCTTACCAGTTTTGCAAAGTTCCCAGCTGTCAATGGTGCTGAATATCCATCTAAAACAACCTGAGTACATGTTTATTATCAGTCACATACAAGTCAAGCAAACAACATTCACCGAACCAGTAGTAAGTACCTAAGACCCAAAACCGTGACCTCGCAACCTGAGAACAAGTCTAGTTTATCACTCAACTAGCAATGAAGTTAACTGATCAAATGTCATTTTTATCAGCTTTCTAATAATGACATGCACATAAATTCAAAATTGGCAAAGCATTTTTACACAAAACTGTGTACCAAAAAACATATGCCAATATATAATTAAGGTCTTTGCAATACATCCATATCATTATCATAGGACTATGCCAATGATTAAACTCCAAAATAGTACGTCTGAAAGAAACTAGAAGACATTGATAGATCTCAATGGACTAGTGTCCGCGAGAAAAATAACTTGACAACCACCAGAATCACCTTAGCAACACTGATAGGACATAAGCCATTCCTTCTAAAAAAATTGGGAGCTTAGCATACCTGAATTGTGGCAGTTTTTCTTGGTTCACCGCCAGATTCTGGAGAGAATGTTGAACCATCACCTCTCTCAATGGAAAATTCTACCAATCCTCTCCCTGTGAGCCTAAGGATTTCAGTAAAACATTATGTCCTATATATGAAACAGGGATTACTACTTCATAACCATATAAGTGTCTGTTTAAACGCCTTTTTTTAATCTTATATTCCATTCTCATTGACATAGAAGTTGAACACCCAAGTCAGTAGTGCAAGGTGGATATATCATTCATAATCACCAAAATAATATAGAGACTATTCAATCTTAATAAACATTCAAATATGTCATACATGTTATACACGTGTATGATGGGCCGCTAAGAAACATGGACACAGATACGGACACGGACAAGTGACATGACATGGATACGACGACAGGTTAATTTTCAAAAAATGAAGGACGCGACAAGTAGGGGACACGCATGAAATATATAATTTTATATATTTATTATATGTTATATATATGAATCTATTATTCAAAAATAATAAAAAAATGCAATATGACACTAATTCCTATAAATTTATATGGTTTTTGTTTTATTATTGTATCTTAAATTATTTTGTTCAAACTTATAATTAGTTTCACATGTGTCTAATCAATAGACACATGTGTTGTTAGAATATTTATTTTTATATTTATCTTAGATGTAATTAGTTGTTTCCTGATTTTATACTATTTCCTGATTTTATGCCTTAAGGCTTCCTTTATAAGTTATTTTACTTCATTAATATAAAGTGAATGAAATCAGATTCATTCACTAAGTTTTGATTTTACCTAAGCAAACATGGTATCAAAGCCTAAACCCTAAACCTAGCTTTTTCTGCCACCATCCACCACCACTCCGGCAAAACCCATCTCCAGCCAACCCACCACCAATTTTTCGGTACCTCATTTAACTATCTAGGGCTTGTGCACACAACAGCAGGCCTTCCAAGCCCAGCCGACAGCCGTCAAAGGCCATCTAGGCCAGGACGATGCCAGTCGGAGGTCACCCAGGACCAAACGACACCAGTTGGCAGTTCCACTGCCTGTTTACGCCTAGTCAGCAGTCCCTCTGTCCTTCTGTGGCTCACGCATGTCTCTGTAAGGTTTGGTTGTGATATACTGATCGTTTCATGTAAAAATAAAAAAATAAAAAAAATCCTTGTTTTGATTGGAGGTTATTGTTCCAATATTTTTTGATTTATTTTTCGGGTCAATAGATGGCCCTAGTAATTTGATTTTCATGCTACCATAGTGGTCTGTGATTGTCATTATTTGGTTGTTCTCTTCCTCCCATAGTTATGATTATTGCTGGTTGTGGTTTAGATAAGTAGCATTCTCAAATGGCCGAAATTACTAGTGAATCCACCACTCGTATCTAGCCACCTCAAGTGGAGAGCCTCATTATGCCTACTCAATCCGAAAACTGCAATCCTAGCCTAAAATTCACCACCTCACTGTTTAATGGTCAGAATTATCTAGCATGGTCGCAGAGTCTAACAATTTTTTTGAAGAGTATGGGGAAGATGGATTATGTTGATGGAAGGGTTCAAATGGGAGATTACTAACTCTTTGATTATGGGGTGGCTTATTCATTCTATGGTTCCAGATATTGGTGAAGGCTACCTGTCCATGGAAACTGTCCAGGATGCTTGGGAAGCTGTGGCTGCCACCTATTCTCGCAAGGGCAATTTTTCGCAAACCTTTGAGTTGTGTTGTTCCATTGGGCGCTCAGTACAGGGGAAGCAAACTGTTCTTCAGTACTTCACATTTCTTAACAATGGCTGGAAACGTCTTGATCACTTGCAGGACTACAAACCGGTTTGCACTATTATTCCGTTGGCTACATGAAGTTTATTGCACAGGAGAGGGTCTTCAAGTTTGTAGAAGGTCTTAATCTGGAATTTGATCCGGTTCAGAGTTGTATCCTCGGCATGGATACTCTTCCTCTCTTCAGGAGGCCTTTGCTTACGTACAGAATGAGGAGAGTTGTCGTTCTGCTATGATGCCACATGCTTCTCTAGAACGCTCTACCTTAATTTCTGTTCCTCCTAGGGATGAGACCAGTCTGCCCCATGCTTCTCCTAATCCTTCTACAAAGGACACTCTGTTCTATGATTACTGCCACAAGCCATAACATACTCTTGAGACTTGTTGGAAGCTTCGTGGGGCTCCATCTAGAGGTCGTGGTGATCGGTCTGGTTCTAGAGGAGGCCGGTCCGGCCAATCTAGAGGACGTGGCTTTAATCCACGGGCCCATTAGTCCAGTGCAGTTGACATACTTGATTCCACTCCAGCCCCGGTTGGCCAGTCCTCTGATGGGGTATCTGGCATATCTTTTGTAGAGTTGGAGATCTCTATGTAGTGGAAAGCATGCATTTTCCTTTGCCTACCTCTCCCATTCATCTTCTTTATTTGCCCGATCAGGTAGCTTAGTCTCTCTCCCTAGTGCTTTCCTTTCCCATAAGTCTGTCCCCTGGATTATTGATTCTGGTGCCTCAGATCATATGTCTGGATCTTCTGATCTTTTCTCCGACTTTAAGCCCTCTTTAAGACGAGACAAAGTTCGAATTGCAGATGGTACTATTTCTTCTGTCTTTGGGAAAGGTTCAAAGTCGTGCCATGTGAGAATATATTGTATATATTTCATGATTGTGTATATATGGCATGATTGGTTATATTAGGAATTAGTGTACATAGGAATTTTTGTATTTCCTTTTTCAGTCATAGATTTAGGGCTATATAAACTGATATAAACATACACCATTACACAAGTTGAATATACAGATCATTCAGCAAAACTTACACGGTATCAGAGCTTGGTTTGAAACCCTAGCTTTCAGATTCGAAACCCTAGCCGTAGTGGGTTTGCTTCATCTGGTTCATCTCTGACCCTGACCCAGAACCCTCTGCCACTCAGTCTCGGTTCAATCGCGACCATATCTGCTACGTCTCTCTCGGTTCTCGTTGGCTTCATCGTGACTCGTCAACTACCTCTGGTTATTGTGACTCTCTCGGTTCATCGCGACTCTTGTCGGCATCGTCTGGTTCATCTATGCCCCTGGTTCTTTCCCTCTCTGTGTCTGTGTTTGAAACTTTACCCACTTGTTATCAATACTCTTATTTGGTTTAAAAAAAAAAAAGGAAAATCTGATTTCCTGTTTGGCCCACTTGTTAGTTATTATTATACTTCAACCTATTTTATCTTTGGTTTATTATAATGACGGACACCAGAATCCAAGCCATTAGATGTAAACTCACTGGTGCCAATTATGCTTATTGGGCTAGTGTTATAAAGAATTTCCTTCTTAAGCAAAAAAAAAATGGGGCTATATTTCTGGTTTTGTTCCTCGTCCATTGGACTCGAAACAAGAAGGATATTTGACTTCCTGTGACACTTGGGATTGTGATAATGCCCAAGTTCTGACCTGGTTTCGTAATTCTGTGGATGACCGTATTGGAATAATGTTTTCCAAATACAGTACTACTAAGGAGGTGTGGGACTATTTATTAGGTGTGTATCAGCAGTCCAACTTTGTCAAACGGTATAAGTTGGAAACAGCTATTCAGAGTGCTCGTCAGCGGGATCAATCTATTCAAGACTTCTACATTGAGATGATAGGTTTCTGAGATCAGTTGGCTCTCATGAAACCATCTAGCCTCAAGGCACTAGACGCTTATATTGACTTTCAGGAGTAAGGTCGTTTAGTGCAGTTCTTAACGCTCTCTTCCCTCAGTATGAGACTATCCGTGGTGGCATCCTTTATCGATCTCCTCTTCCCTCTATGGATGCTGTTAAAACCTACCACTACCACTTCCACCTACTACACCTACCACCACCTACTACACCTATATCTCCTATATAAGGAGCCCCTCACATTTGTAATTAATAACACAAATCAATCAATCAATCAATAATACATAAATTCTTTCATGGTATCAGAGCAAGGTTAAGCACTTATTATTTTTCGCTTCACCGGCGGGCGGCAACCTCGCCTTGGCCGCCCGCCGGACTTCAACCTATTCCGCTTATTTTCTACACATACCTGCCATCACGCAAACTGAAGAGCTTAGTCAACTTCCTCAATTTTGGGACCAGCACCACTACCACTCTACATTGAGATGACAGGTCTCTGAGATCAGTTGGCTCTCATGAAACCATCTATCCTCAAGGCACTAGACGCTTATATTGACTTTTAGGAGCAAGGTTGTTTAGTGCAGTTCTTAACGGCTCTCTCCCCTCAGTATGAGACTATCCGTGGTGGCATCCTTTATCGATCTCCTCTTCCCTCTGTGGATGCTATTGTTCGTGAGCTCCTCTCTGAGGAAACCCGTCTTAAGATGGCCAATCAGACTCTGTCTTCATCTGTCTTCTTGGCTCCTACTCAACCTCCTCTGTTGTCAACCCTACCACCTCATCAGCTTCAGTGCCATGTGAAGCCCAAAAAGGGGCCACTAGCCTCTGATGAGTATGCTTTTTGCCATCAGAAGGGCCATTGGAAGTACAATTGTCCCAAGAAGGGACTTCAGTCTGCTCAGTCTTCTCAGCCGCCTCAGACACAGTTTCGACCTCCTGCTGCTTATACTGCATCTACTCCGGCTTCTGATCCTAACTTGGCTTCCTTAAGTGCCCAAATTGCTCAGCTTTAGCATCTCTGGTCCACCTCTCAGTCATCTTCATCTGCCTTTGCTCTCACCTCTCTTCATTTAGGTTTGCTTAGGTTCTCTTTAGGTATTCCTTCCTCTATCTGACTTTTTGATTCTGGTGTCTCTCATCATGACTCCTCACCTTTCCTTCCTCAAAAATTGTATCCCCTCTCCTTTTCCTATTACTATTAATACTGCTAATAGGTCTGATATGTCTGTCCTATCGATTGGGTCTATCTTATCCTCTACCATGTCTGCTGTTACTATTCCCTCTGTTCTTTATGTTCCTCAACTATCAGTCAGCTTGCTTTCTATCAGTCAGCTTGATGCTTCTGGTTTTGATGTTATATTTTCTTTTTCTATCTGTTGTGTGCAGGATCGGGTGTCCAAGAAGCAAATTGGGACCGACTGTAGAGTTGGAGATCTCTATGTAGTGG